CTCTCTCTGACCCTCCCCTGCTCATGCGCTCTCTCTCTCTCAGAAAAAACAAAAAACAAAAACAAAAAAACATTAAAGTTTGAGAAGCACTGATCTAAGACATGGTCCCTGCCATTAGAGGCTCACAAACTAATGTAATGATTCAAACCTACAAATGCAGGAGAAATGCACAGCTCTCTGCATTCATGTGTTCAAGCCCCACAGGCTTATGCTCCAGTTATGTAAATAAGAAAGAGCAAAGCAGGAGGGGTCTGGAGTTGGAACCATTTACTGAGATGAGACAGACAGGAGGGACTGTTCTGCCAGACCAAATGTGCCACCGTTGGGTGGGCCAGAGCAGGAGAGAGGGGTCCCTAGCAGAGGCATGGGTGGGCCACTCCTTGGGGACCATGGGTCAGCTGTGCTCAGGTTTGCAGGCAGACATCTGCCAGGGACCAGCTGAGCTGAGAGGAGGAAGCAGACCACAGTGTGGCTGGGAGGCAGCGGCAAGGCTCCTGAGGAAAGAACGCAGTAATAGCACAAAGCTTTGGAATCATCAGATCAGGGGTTGATTTCTGTCTCTGTGACCTCAGCTTTGTGTTTTTAGCTTTGCTGAGATTAATTTCTTCACCTGTAAACCCTGGCTAACAAAAAGTACCCCCATGAGGTGGCTAACAGATTAAATAATGCGCGTGAAGCGCTTGACCTAGGCTGCGGACATGTGTCAAGTGATCGATATGTGCCAATAACTGTTTTAAGGACCTTATAAATGTAAATTCTGAACAACTCCCCTGTAAGGTTGCCGGTATTATAATTTCCATTATACACTGAATCACAGAGATTACAACATCTCCCAAGTTCCCTCAGCTAGTAAGCAGCAGAACTAGGATTCCAACCACGGCGATCTGGACCCGGCCACCATGCCCGCCCACACTCATTCTAGACTGCATGTCATACAAATCAGAGCTCGACACACAAATGGTGACGACTTCATCACCATCATTACCAGTCCTCTTGGGCAGCTGCTATTCCAGGCAGGTCACCAAATCCGAGACTCAGACACAGGGACCAAGGCCGAGGACCCATGCTGACTGACGGCACTGCACATGGCAAACGTGGCTGCAATGCCGCAGTTGTGTCTATGTCTCTGCCTCCCGTTGAGGGTCTTCCGGAGAGGTGGGCCTGGGCCAGCAGACAGAGCCCAATGGTTCACACAGCAGGTGGAGGCAAGACGTACTCCTGAAAAATCTACCAAGGCTCCAGCCCTGATTCCACCCTCACCTCACCCACATGTCTCCCTGCTGCCCCCTACACCCTCTGCCCCAGGTGGGTGTGACTGCCACCATCTAAGAGCTGGCCTCATATGGGCAGAAGCAGCTCACATTTCTGATTTTAGCAGCTTCCTCACAACCACTGGATTTCCCTTCTCTTCCAGACTGATTATCTACAATGTGTCCTGTCTGATGTAAGTTCAGTTCTTTGCTTGTAGACTCGGGAGACTTTTGTCTACAGCAAGCCAGAATTCCCTCCGGCTTCCAGGTGGCTGGCTAAAAGGGGAGGCTTCTTGTTAGGCAATGCTATGTACAAGCCCTCCTGCTATGACTCCCCAGCACCTTACTTAGGTAAGTTATTTAATCTCTCTGTATCCTAATTTCCTCATCTGTAAAAAAAGGGAAACACCAATAATGCCCACTTTGAAGGCTTTCAAGAGATTAATAGCTGTAAAATACTTTGTACCATTCCTGGTACTCAAGTAAACATTAACAGCCTCCCATTATTATTGTTATACTTATTTTTATTACCCAAATAGCCTCTTTGATGCTAGGGAACCTTTGAAAAGGAGGATGGAGCTCCTATTTGCCAAAGTGTGCCACTATCACTAAGAGGCTGCGTCCAATTACAGGAAAAACATATTTGGGCTCATGTGTGTGTGTATGGGCATGTGTGCAGGTGAGAGTTAATGGTTACTTTTAACTGGAATCCTGAGCAGGGTTTGTGTGTATTACAGCTGGAAATTCTGAGCTTGAAAGAAAAAATAATAATAATAAAGAGCTTGCCATGAATCTCCCAAAGTTAGGACAAGTTTTTAAAGAAGGCTCTCAGGAGCTCTGCGGCCCTGGTGGCCATCCCTGTATCTCCTCTCCACCCCAGGTTCCCTTCGGTTTATTTAGTAGGCACCAATTTGGAAAAACGTTCAAAAAACGTTTTTGAATGTCAGAAAACACATCCCACTAAGTTGGGCCACCAAATCTCCTCTTGTCTGAATGAGTGAATCCTATAAAGGTCAGGGTCAATAGCCCTAAGTGTTTTCTTTAAAGACACAGCAGCACACATTTCTGAGGCCTCAAAAAGGAAATCTTGCTTACACTGTAAGCTGACCCACACCAAAAATAGTTGTTGAATGACAACAATAACTGAATTAATTAATAGACCAAGGTTCCTTAGCTTGGATCCAAGTATCTCATAAATTACCTGGATGGTCAGCAATATTGGTGTATATATACAGCTCAGGAGAGATGGTCTACATAAATTCTTGAAAGCTCTATAATCTAAAATGATTAATAATCATTGCTTGGCTTTTTCATTCCCTGGCCATTCTGGGGACTGTGCTTGGTTGGGGGACCATCCTTCACCTAAGGTAGGAATATGGTGGCCACAGGAAGGATGAAAAAGGTGTTGGATTCCATCAACTCTAGGTCCCAACTGGTCATGAAAGGTGGGAAGTAAGTGCTGGGGTACAGCTGACTGTGAAGATGATTGACAATGCAAAGTCAAACTGGTCATTCTTGCCAACAAGGATGCCAACAAGGATCTGCCTAACCTAGAGGAAGTCTGAAGTAGGGCACTGTGCCAAGTTGGCCAAAACTGCTGTCCAGCATGGCAGTGGCAATAATGTTGAATTGGGCACACCATGCAGATAACAATTAATGCACACTAGCTATCACTGATCTAGGTGATGCTGATCTTTAGAATTGTGCCACAACAGGCTGTTTAAAAGTAAATCATGCTGTTTTTCTTTAGCTAAATGGGCCAAAGCTTAAGGAAGGAAGGAAGAGAAGGGAGGGAGTGATGGAGGAAATGAATCACTGCTTTGGAGTAATATTCTGAGAGAGGAAGCTGTATCCTTTCCCCTAAACCAAACTGGATAAATTTGGCAGATCTGAGTAGACAACTTCGGATGTCTACATTCCGACTATCCACCCACTTTCTAGTCCATGAAGACAAAACTTCTCACTGCTCTCCACAGCTCAGTCTTCCCTCCCTTTCTAGAAGGCTCTCTCCATCCAGACCAGGTTCATCCTTCAGGACTGCACACCCACCTATAAAAGCCTACCTCCCCTGCCATAGCACATCCCCTGATAGGAAGACAGATCATTCCCTCTATCACCCAAATTATTCTCAGATGCTCCCTGCTCTTTCCCAGGGTTCAAAGGCCCTTATTCAAAAGCTTTGACAATGAGAACCCTGTAGCTGAATCCTGACTGCACTCTGGTTTGTATCACCTGGGCATTGTTTACTTTGGACTCTAAACTGCCAGGGGGCCACTGCTGTTTAAGAGTCTTTTGTGTAGGAGGTGTTCAAAGCAAGAGTTCAATAACCACACTTCTCCATCGTTTTAAATTCTGCCCCACTGTTTGCTAAGCCTAAGGAAGCTGGCTCTGTCAAAACGCTAACCTAGAGCTTCAATTAATTCTGGACGTCTTAAGTTTTCATACTCTATTCTCAGATGCAATGGTTACCTTTAAAAAAAAAAAAAACTCTTTATAAATATAACTTCTAACTCAGTTCGTCCCGTAGTCCCCTGTGTATGGGTTGGAATTTTCAATTCACTCAGAAAGGGAGACATTCTTTTTTTTTTTTTTGGTGCAAAAAGAAAGGGTGAAACTCTTGCTGCAGAATGGTTTTTCAGGCATTCAAACCCCTTGCTCTCTTTGTAGGGCAAAGCAACATTTTCCCTAGCAGCTTTGAAGACGGCATGTTAAATATCTCATTTTGTTGGCTTGCCCTTCTTGGTTCCAACCACCACTTACGAGGTATTAGGGTGCTGCTGTCTTTCCCAGTAGCAAAGACTTTGTAGCCTAATAGCCAGGCAGCTTACTCATCTCTGATTCATACTCTAGACTGCACTGTCCACTTCCCGGCACTCAGTTCCACAGCCCAAATATAAAACACACACCCCTACAGATAAGCACAGGGTGACCTCTGGATGGCATGAGGCCTGTAGAATCCAGCATGAAGCTCCCTCCTTCTTTACCCCATGATGATCAAAGCCTGCTTAGAATGGATCACAGCCTTGCAGGCTGCAGATTTCCTAAGAAGTGCATCAGACACTTAAGCATCCTGGGCCCCCTCCATCACATTAAGTTTGGGCCCCTCTCTGCCCCAGGATCCCAGAAGCTCCAGGCATTGGGAGGATTTTCCCAGAACTTACCTGTCCATACCACTGCCCACAGGGCCCTGGGCTGGACCTGACTGGGCTTTGTTCCTTTCTCGGCCATGGTTTATTTATGTTTTGAAAACCAAGGCTGGCCAAAGATGGGAGACTTTGAACTTCTGCACGCTTTTCCACTGGGGTCTCCTCACTGGATAAAGCCAGTAAATAACACAGAATCGAGCATCCTCTCGCCTCTCCACAAATCCAAAGCCAGGGCGTGAGTCTCTCCTCAGCAAACATCCCCTGAAGGGTGTGCCTCCATTTGAGCTCATCTGACCCAGTTAAGGAGCCAGAAAGGGAAAGATCACCCTCCAGTTACGTGCTCCCCACCCAGCCCTACGCCACGCGCCTGTCCTGATGCCCTCCTGGGCGGCTGCAAGTAGCAGCTGAAAAACGTCAGTACTAAGGCCAGGACGGGCTGGGGCCGCTGTGCACCTCCAGGTAACCTTAGGAGTGAGGCGACCCTAGAAGTGGCAAGAAAGAGGGGGAGTTCGGGTGGGGACGGGGTTGGCGGGAAGCCAGCTGGGCCAGCCAGGCCACGACAGCGGGGTGGAGGCCTCTGCGGGGACCCGGCGAGGCCACCCACCTCTTGATGTAGCTGCTGAGGCGGTAGAGCTGCCCGTCGAGGCGCACGCAGCCGTCGCAGAAGACGTTGAAGCCCCCGTGCGCCGCCGCCGCCGCCGCCGGTTCCCCGGGGCCGGGCACCACGAGCTGGTCGCCCCGCAGCTGGAAGGCGCCGGGCTGCAGGCGCAGCAGCTGCGCCAGCGGCAGCAGGGCCAGCTCGCAGTCGCACGTCCACAGGCTGCGCAGCTCCCCCGACGAGATGGAGGTCAGGCTCGGCCTGGCCGGCGCGCACGCCACCCCCGCCATGTCCCCTGCGCAGCGGTGCACACGGCCTGGGGCGCCCGACTGCGGTGTCAGGTGCCTGCCGGCCAGCGGCGCTTTGCGGGACCGGCGCGGAGAAAGCGGGCCCCGAGCCGCACGGCCCTTTTATCCTCCCGGGGTGCGGCCGCCCGCCCCTCCGGGGCCCCGGGCACGACCCCAGGCCGAGCGCGCGTCGTGCTGGAATTTGGCAAGCTCTCGGCCGGCCGCGCCTGCTCGCCGCCAAGGGTTACTCATCCCCCTCGGGTCCGCAGCTCCACACCCGGGGCTGGGCCCGCCCCCGCCTGGCCGACGCGGCCGGGGGTGGGGTGGCAACAGTCGGCGGCAGAGCGGAGCATCCATCCACTCTCTACACCCCGCACCTCCGCGGGCCGGTGGGAGAGGGCGTGGCCTTCTCCTGGCTCTCCCCGCGTCTCCCTGCGTGGGGTCTAGGGATCTGCGGAGGTGCGGGGCCTCAGCCTTCCGCCGTCCTCCCGCAGGCCGGTCCCGAGTTGGAGTCGGTTACCAAGCACTGCCTCCCAGCCTGTTTTCTGCCCTTCCCCCCAGCACGTCACGCCCTGCATCTTTGTTCCTCTCCCTGATCCCTCCGCCTGGACCCCTACCATGCGGAAATTCCACTGATCATGTCACTTTTCCATAAAGCCTTCTCGAGTCCGCCGTGGATTTCATTGCCTCGCCTCCGCTTGCTTCTCCGGCACGTGGCCCACAGGCCTCAGTGCGCGGAGCAGTGGGCCTGCCTCCTCCCCAGCCTCCTAGCAGGCTAAGCTCTCCGAGTCCCGGAATCTATTTATATGTTGAGTCAGTCTATAGATATTGGAGCGCCAGCCATGTGCTCATTCTGTAGACATAATGAATATGCTTGGTCTCCTGAAGTATGAGAGGACCATCTCATTCAATTTAATTAAAGAACTTGTTTCCGAAATACCCACTAGGAGCCCGACAATAGGTAAATTCTGAGCGGTTGAGGACGAATACACGCGAGCCCTGCTCTTACCGAGCTGACAGTGTGGTCACAGGGGGTAGGCAAGCATTTCAGCAGTTGCCATGTACGAAATAAAACGTTCTGCAGAGGATAAACCTGGATTTCTCCGGGGACAACTCAGCCCAGTTTTGAGGAGCTGGGGAGGCTTCCTGAAGTAGGTAATTTAGAACACTAAACTGGATCTTTTAAAAAGTTCACTAGAATTTAGAGAATATTTTTAGTTTGTCTGTGTGTGTGCCCAGCATGGACCCCTGCATAGGTTTAATCAGGTCGAATGAAGGGCCTCTCGGTCATATCTCATTGCAGTCCCAGAATATAAATGAATGCCATTCACTCCTTTCTCCAGACATGGGTCTCTTTGCCCCAGGATCAGTCCCCGTTGCTGAGTCTCTCTGAACAAATCGAATTCACCCAAGATGCATTGGCCACTACTGAATCAAGCATTTGTGGGGAGGAAGGGGGAATCTGTCTTTGAAACAAGCAGCCAGGGGGATCCTTTGACAAAGTGAAGCCTGAGGAGCACTGCACAGAGAACAGGTGTGGTCAGGGGTTGAGGCTGTAGGCAACATCCAGAAGCTGGGGTTGTGTTCACAGGGAGGGATGTAGCACCAGGTATATACCCATCACACCCTAAGGGGCATTCATTCTTGCCTCTAAAGACATCAAGATAAGTGCTATAATAGATGTATTGTATAATAGATGTATGAGAGCAGGGTCAAAGGGGTGGTTGGTTCTACCTGGGAAGCCCCAGGAAGAATTCTCAGAAGAGGTGACAAGTGGGCTGGGCTCTGAATACAAGAGAGGAGCTTCCAGGTGCGGGAGCACTATGAATGAGAACTTGGGAAAGAAGCCTGGACTAACCCATGCAAAGAGAAAGTATGGTTTCTTGAGGGAAGATGGGAATTCTGTATAGCTAAACAGATAAGGCCTGTTTAGGGTGAAAGGGGTGAGTCTTTAAGAGATGAGGCCAGAAAGGGAAGTTGGAGCCAGATTAGGATAGGCTCTCTAAATTGTCTAAGAGTTTAGATTCTTGAGGCAATAGGGCAACTTTGAATGTTTTGCAGGAAGGAAGTGATATAATTATGTCTGAGCTCAGATAGACACGTTTGGTTATGGTCATGTAGAAGATGTTTTAGAACAAGGAGATTGAAGGCAAAGGAGACCAATGTAACAATCCACCTAAGATCTAATGAGAGTCTGACTAGTTTACACAGCAGCTCTGGGAATGAAGATGACAGGGTGAATTAGGGGCATTTTTGAATCAGGATCCAGCAGGATTTTATGAGCAGATAAGTGGAAGAGGGAAGAGAAAGACAAAGGAGTAGAGAGAGATATTTGGTCCCTCATTGGGATACCTACACAGATGGTGTAGATTTTGAGCCACTTAGGGAACAGCCATGTGGAAAAGTATAGGAGGCAGCTAATTAGGTGGGTCTGGAGTTTTGGAGAAAAGGCAGGATTAATAATTGAAATTTGAAAGTGATTAGCTCAAAGACGGGGTGGGGGTGTGTGTAAAAACCAAAGAAATGGATGGGAGCAACTAGCTGATAAGTGGTAGGGTACAAATTTGAGCCCAAGCCTGTAGTTGACTTCCACAATGTTTATTGAGCACTGCTATATATTCTAGAACCAGGGGTTTGCTGAACTGTATGAGGTGAATAGATTGTGAAAAGGAATAAAGGAAAACCTCATTCAAAATGGAGTCAGAAAGACTGGAAGTGGGGTGCTGTCATACAGGTACCACTCATCCCATTCATTACCTTATATTCCCCATCAGGAAGACACTTACTTTCCAAACCCTGGCAAGAGGAAGATTTTCCCCTTGTCCAACAACAAACCCAGCCAATGAGAAGCTTCCAAACCCAGTCAATGAGAAACTGCCACAACTCAACCAATGAGAAATCACCACAACCCCAAGCTCTTTACTCTCTTCCAATGAACTTTCATTCAAAAATACCTCTCCCAACTTCCTCCTTTCCTCTATAAAAGCAAGTCTCTCTCCTTGGCTCTCTGTAATGATCCATGGTTTGCTGTAGTTTGCATTTCCCAAATTGCAATTCTTCTGCTATTCCAGAATAAATTCATTTGCTGCTTAATAACCTTGGAGGTTTAATTTTTAAGTTTACAAGAGGCAGGTCCTGTCCTCAAGTAACAGGGAAGAATGCAGGCATCAGCACAGCTAGTCTCCTGGCATGGCGTCCAGACTTATTGATGAATTCTAGCTGTATTTTGCTTATTGCATGTCTCTGATCTCCTCAACAACAGCAACAGCTACAAATATTGCTTTCCCAGTCAGTAAGGTCAACAGGGGCTGGTCTGCTACAGAGGCCCACCCAGCCCCAGGTAGATTGAGCTCAACATTGTTGATCACCCTTAAACCTACACTGTCTATGGATGATTTGGCTTTGTTGAGGGATACAATGTAGCATAAAAGATTTATGTCAAGTTATATGCAATTGGTTAAGATGAATATAACAATCTCCCCCACCAAAATCTGTTTCCTTTGCAGTAAAATATCAACATTTATTATCTGAATAGAAGGATTAAAGGAAATTTTTCTTTGTTTCTCCATAGCTCTCTGATTTACAATTTTTCTGCATTTTCCAAATGAGTGTATATTGTTTTCTACAGAAAAAAAATGGTGTTAAGCACAATAAAAACATGCTAAAAAGATGCTTTCCGAGTTGTGTTATCTTGAGGTTTCATTTGATGCATTTTCAGTAAAACACCTGCATTTCTTTATGGATAATTTATGCACCACCAAAATGCCAGAGAATGGTATGAAAAAGTGAACAGGAAAAAAAATTGCATTCATTGTAATGTCAGCCATTGCTACGTTACAGTGGAGAACTATAGATATCTTTTCCTATTTAGTATCTTTTTCATTACCAAAGAACCAACCAAGCAAACATAATCACCTCAAGAGAAGATATTTTTGGTCTTTTTTATACTGTTCGCTTCTTTACACCATTGTGTTTATATTGTAGAATTATTATTCTGCTTTTCTCACTTAACATCGTATGTATATCTAGTACCAAAAATTATCTGTGTAAGTAGTATTTGAAGCCACTATGTTATTTTCCATGAAGAAGATTCTCCATTGTTTGTGTTGACATGCTTTTACTCATGACTACTCAATTTGTTTCCAGTTTTTCTTTACTGTAAACAATGCTACAATGAACATCTTTGCACTTCAGCTTCTTTCTGAATCCAAATCTCAGAAATGGAATTATTGAGACAAGTGATATGACAATGAGTAAGGTTGTTGAAACACGCACCATTATTTTCTAAAAGAACTGCACTAGACTGTCCTTCTGCCAGAGGGATTCCTCATGGCTTTGAATTTTTGGTACCGGGTATACGGTACCTACCTCATGGCTATTTACAGTTGTGTGTCTTAGATTACTCGTGAAACTAACAGTTTGGCTGTGATGTTGCTCTTTAGCTTCAGACACTGTTGATAGCGGAACAATCACTCATGAGTCGATGGCTATATCTGCAGTTAAAACTAGGCAAAATAAAGATGGGGGCCATCCCTGTGTGCCCCCGTTGGGGTGATTCTTCTTTGGCAACATCACCAGTTTATAGGCTCAGTTCCTCAGTAGAAGTTCAAAGTTAGAGACCCTGATTGAAATGAACCAAATTCACAGCAAACTGAAAATCAAAGTCCCACCACCCCTTTCCTGTTCTTGGATTTCCTGTCAGCATACAAACAGCTGCAGTTTTCTCCCTTTGAATAAAAAAAAAAAAAAAAACAACCTATCTTTAAACCTTTTTACATCACATTTTTCTTTTTAGCTACCTTTCCATCTCCCTTCTTATCTCTATAGAACCATCTAAATCCCTTGCCTGTCTTTCCCTCTTTGAAACTTGACAAACCTGACTTCGGCCCCATCACACCACTGACACTGACCTAAGTCCCCATTGCCTCCATGTGGCCAAATGTAAGACACTTCCTGTTCCAATCTCACTAGATAACACTTGTCCCTGCAATTCTCTCTTCCTTTAGTCTGTGAAGAAGGTGCCCAGTATAGCAGAAAGTTTCAAAGCTTTAGTTTAAAACCTGACTCAGGCACTTACTGGCCGTGTCATTTGAGCAAATTTCTAAAACTCTCTGATCCTAAATTTTCTCATCTCTAAAATCCATTCAGGACAGAGTGAGGCAGAATAGCTCCAAGTTCTGGCACTCAGACTTGGGTGCTTTATCACCTGGGTCCAAGAGCTAGTCTGCTCTGTGATCTTGAGCACATCACTCCTACATGCTTCAGTCTTCTTATGTATAAAGAGC